TACAATTTCCTTCTTCAATTCAATGGTTATTTTCTTCAAAACCTTATTCTTACCAAGCTTGTTCTGCACTTTCTTTGGAGCCAAAGAAAGCACACCAAAAAGCTTTATAGGACGTCTGTTTGCTACCGCGATCTCGCCTACAGGAAGCCACAACCATGTGTCAGCAGGGAAAATGGCTGCGGATCCTGTTCATCACCCGATGCGGAGTTCGTGAACGGAAGCAAAATTTTGCGAATGGAGCTGTTCGTGAACCGAATTGTTCGTGAACAGAAGCATTCATGACCCGAGGTACCACTGTATTAGTGTATCTGTAGTTTATTTATATTGTGGTTAAGGTACATCCAATTGTAATGGTAAAGGCACTGAAACTCTCTCTTTCCTGATTGTCATTTGGGGGTTTATACAAAAATAACTTTTTTAAAGGGCTGATTTGACCCTGGTAATCCATATTGATTAGTCAGTAATTGAGACAAAACAAATAGGAGAATAATTAACCTTTTTGTTGCATGTAACAGAAGTTTCTGAGAAGATGTAATGGTATGTGGGAATGACTTTGGGAGACAGGAGGGAGAGCTGCAGACTGGGCAACTGGCATGTAAAAGATATCTCAGCCCACAGAAGGAGAGAGGGAGTGGGAAATGTTTCCCACACTGTCCCTCCTTCTGTGGGCTGAGATATCTTTTACACGCTGATTATCCAGTCTCCCTCCTGTCTCCCACAGTCACTCCCATATACCATTACAGAAAACTAGTCCAGCCCATGTTTAGTTTCAGATGTGAATTGGATGTCTTAAACTTACAAAAAAGAAGATATAACTCTTTCTGTCTTAATAACCTGAGGCTAGAGTAAAATGTGATACTCTTCACTAAAAGAGAATTCTACAGGCCTGGAATAGTAGGATAACTGATAAACATACCCAGGCATCCTTGATGTACCACACTGGTCTGGCATGACAATATTTTATCTAGAGGAGCCTGTACTCTAATTTAGATGTGGTTCCAGATATTTGGTACTGTTTATACACACTCAGTTTTAAGTGTGGCCTGAATAATTAATACAGTTTAAATTTGAGACATGAATTTCTTTGTTTCAGATAGCTCTATATAATTTAGGCAGTAATTGCTAATGAGAAACTCCAGAAATAAACTCCAGAGTGAGGCTGTGTTGAATTTAGGTGAACTTAGGCAAAGAGTTCATAATTTGACAAAACTCTTCCCAGACTGCTTCACTTTGGAACATGCAGTTAGAAACACAGAAACTTTGAGCATTCCTTGCCATAAAATTTGGTCTACCCACTTTAAAAATCTGCTCCAGAGGTTAATGGTCCTCCCAGATCACATGGAAAGTGGTCCTCATGAAGCGTGAATTGATGACAATTGCCTCCTCTCTCTTCTTTCTGTGCAACTTTTAGTTCTGCTAGATCAGCAACAGTTTCCACATGGACGGAATTCTGCCATTCATGAAATGCCTTCCCTAGAACCAATCTTCTCTTTTTTAGAACTATTTGAATTGGTCATTGTCATTAGTTTCTGAGTCATTTCCCTTAGTGGATAACAACATTACATGCTTGTTAAATTTAGTTAACAGGGAAAATAAAACCCACACCAAATTGACCCTAAATATACCTTTTAGTTGAGGATACATTCTGCAAATTTCCATTTAAAGCAACTGCACAGATGAATTCCATTAAAGGAATATAAAAGAGAAAGGCATGAGCACTAATTATTATTCATGAATTATTCCTCATTTCTCACTGAACTCATCCCATGCTTGAGTAATTGTTCTTTCATTGAAGAAAAGGTTGCGTTGCTTTCAATAAATAAATAAATAAATAAATAAATAAATAAATAAATAAATAAATGGATGAAATACAATACCTAAAAAGAGACTATGAAGGTCAAGTTTAAGCATTAAATTTGTTGTCATAAGTTCTCATTGTGAAGTGAGTCAGTATTCATAGACTGGTTGAAAAGATTTGAGTTTGTATTCTAAGAGTTACCTCAAGCAAGAATTCACCAAATGCTATTCTTCCCCCAACTAAATGTGATGTTTGTCAGAATCTAGCCTTGCCAAAAGCAATAAAAATCCAACTACATATACTAAGGCAGCCTTGTGT